GTCCTAGATTGTATTCAATATTGTCATTGTTGGACGCGAGTTTAGCGAAGGCATCAACTACATCGTGTTGACTGATGGCTATGTGAGAGGGGAACCACAGCCGCTTGATCCTGATAGGGGGTATCAAAAACAGGTAGTGAGGATAAGGAGTCAGTGATGATGAGACTGTCAGTGGTAGTGTCTTCAATACGTTTTAGGGCTTGTTAATTGGATACCCAGTTATTAATTCCATCTCCTTTCTCTTTTACAATGCAGTTAAGGTGGCGGCACACTGGACACTTTCCTCCAAACATGTTGCCCGTTTTGCAACAGCAAGATTTCGGTTGTTGCTAGAAAAGGACAACGGTTTGTCAGGGATCTTTGCTGGCTGGATTAGTGCTCAAATGAGCTTCATATAATTTCAAGTAAAAATTTAAATAAATCATGAAACTATGATTATTTAAAATATAACACATAGATCCACACATAAACGGTGACACATTTCTATTTATTTGTCACTTTTAAAGAAACTTCACGTGCACCCATTTGCCTTTTCTTTAGCTCTTGCAGAACTATAGTGAGACCAGTGTAAGGCCAGACATATGGCCACTGTGAAGAAAAAAAACTATAGGGATAAATCCAAGCACACTGTGTATGCAACGGCACAGCACTTATCTCTGATGACAAGATGACTGATATACTAAGGCTGTATCCACACTTCACATCTACAGTACTAAAGAAAACTTCTATGTACCGACCTAAACAAATATGTCCTGGAAATACTCTGTAACATTCATTGCCATAATATCTTGACCACTGGGGTCTGATAAACACCCTTTGTGATCTCTATTCTGTAATCCTTTTTGCACTACCTCCCACTGGATGAGTATGGGGTGCACATTAAACCATTTACTGTCTTTGGCAAAATTCAAATTCTGTACTCTGTCTCTTCCTGTATTATTGTAAGTGATGGTAGGAGGTTCATACATAATACTAGGGGTGCCAAAAGTTTCCTAGATGAAGCTAAGTGCAAAAAGGTTACTAGATAATATTAGGTAATGTGTGGTCATTCGTTTAGGCGGGTACGTGAGTGTTGTGATGTCAAAGAGAACTGTACGCCGGGGTACAGACAGTGGTAATGTGAGTGTGTGGTGAGCTGGCCTGTGTCACTGGAGGATCAGATACACGTGTGTTATGCTCACGTTCTTTCTCATCCTGATAACGGAGATGGTGTTGCTACTGATGGTGTTATTACTGCTGGTGGTGGTGTTAGTGTTGGTGGAAATGTTGGTGTTGCTGTGGCTATAGAATGTTATCTTTGGTGTTGCTGGTGTTGGTTCACCGTATCCCTCGCTAGACATCTCGTTGTGTTGTAGTTGTTCTGTACCTGGCTGTGTTTTGCAGTTTCCTCAAGTAACATTCACTCCAATCTTGAGACGTGTTACCTGGCTATCCTAATTAACTTTCAGGAAATATGAGTCAACGATATACCGTATTCCTTTCATAGATATTAATAACCACGATTTTCTGTCCATAACTCAGTAAGCAGACTGCCATACTTCTAAAAAAAAAAAAAGAAGGCCTTCGTTGATATTTACGAGTTTCTCTATATAAGTCGAAAAAGATATTCGGAATTCAGTGAAAATGTTTACGACACATAAGCAGTGAATAACCCAAGTGTGTGTTGGTAGCCGGGGCCGATCTGCTCTAATCCTTTGATTCACGTAACCTCGTCAAGGCCAATTGAGTCAACAAGTAGGTAGTCCAAAATGTATTCTTGTCCGACGCTGGTCAACGTGTCCTTAGTGACTGAGGTACAAAACGAGGTTAAGTGCTGTCAATCTAATGGATCGTTTCTCCCTGCCTACATTTGAATATTTTTTCTACCAGTTTTCTTCAATTTTACACTATTCTTCTATATGACGTACTAGACTTTTCTCCCTGCCATTCTCCAGTAGCAAGAGTCGATAAGATCTCTCCGTCCTCTTTGGCCTTACACCGTCTCTCTTGTCTCCCCTTCTCACTGTGACTGGTAGTTGTCCTAGTCTGGTCCTTATATTATCTATCAATTAAGAGTACCCTCCTCATATCTGAGGGTTGGCGACCACAGTCCTCCACTCTAAACGTTCTCGGGCTGTTTTTACCAATCCTCTAAGGTTTTGTATCTCTCTGGGGACCCAGTTTTTAATTTCATTCATCCATCTCAGTCGCTTTCCTTCCCCTGGCCCTCCTACCCTTAACTTTACCCATTAATATTTATGTTATTATTCCTTCATACATAATTATATGACCAACATATCTAATTTTTCTTTTTCTGTACATTTCAAGTATTTAACTATAAGTTCATGCTCATCTTAGTACTTCTTCATTTGTTTTCCTGTCAGTATAGCTTATGTTTGGGCCGGGGTTTGATATCAAACGATCTCACTTGTTAACACTTACCTGAATGAGTGTAGGGTAGCCGCTGGTACCTTTGATGAAGCTGGGAGAGATATTAGGTAATCTCACGGCATGTCACCTTTGATACAGTCGTAGTTTGATAGTTGAATCGTCCCAGCCACCCTGGGTTACACTTGTAATTAACTTAGCTTTTAAGTTACACAAGTGCACACAGGTTCTGTTATCCTCACTTGTGGTTCCTTGGTTTAATGTAAACACAGGTGGTAATTTTCTAGTTACATTGGATAGTCTGGTAGTTACAAGATTGCTTGTTGACAGACTACTGAGCACTAGCTATTAGCTTTATTAGCTTGTAATTAGCTGATATAATTAGAGAGAGACACAGCCTGGGGGAGTTATGCTCACAACACGTCTCTTTGGTACGGTGTCTGGCTGTGTACTGGTGAACTGTGGGAACTGTGAACTAGCTGACCTCTCTCCATCTGGTGTTGGGGGAAGTAATTTAATACGTCAACACAGAGATAAAGGCTACACAGGCCTACTCTCACACAGAGGCCTGGGAACATATATTTATGGGTTGTAACCTGAGTTTGTGTGAAACAAACAAAATGTACACCCTCAGAGGGGGGGACAGAACAAAGCTTTGTGTAGCTGTATGCTCAATAGTCTGGGTGATAGAATGTATATAATGAATATATGTCCTTAGCCCATATTTATATAATATTAATTGATAGGGGCTAGAACATCCCTCGGTTACCACCCACCGAGTTCCACACGGTGTAAATCCACGCAGATAAGCCCTATGTGTACCTAATCTTGTTATAATGGTGTGAGTGCCTTAGCTAAGCTGAGATCTTCAACCTTTATGTAAATGGTGGTTGAGATTCAATGAACTTGCCTACAGTGCCTTTCTAAAATGATTATGCTCGAACCAAAATACTCGTACACTGAATAACACAAATGGTAAAGGTTGGTATCACAAGGCTTGATTTTACAAATCTTAAGATATTAAAAATGAATAATTAATTCATAAGTATACAAAAATATGTTTCAATTTATATAAGAAATTGTTTTTAATATATTTTTTATTTTTATTAGAACTTATAATGAGTTTACTTACCATTGACTATTGGTTTTATATATTTATAAAATCATAACGTACTATTAACGTAGGGAGGCTTAGCAACGTTTTTTGTGAAATGGCTAGTAAATTGTTAATTGTCTGGCCTCATCTAGTAACCCTTAACTTGCTCTTATCCTGACACAGCAAAATTAATCTGTTCTGTGTAGGAAAACTTTAAAATACAAAAAATACTCGAACATTATGAAGCGTATGGACACAGATCTAGGTGTGAAGATAGTGATGAAATGTATGCTGAGCTTAGTAGCATATGATAGTGTCAATATGACGACCTACAGTGTACATCAAAGGCTATCCTGATCATCGTTATTAAGATTAGTCATTCATAAGAAGAAGTTCAGTTTGTTAAAACTAATGTCAAAATCTGTCAGTTTATTTTATTAGATAGTCCCATATATCATGCATTAAACTTAGAAGTAGAAACAATAGGATATATCAAGAATACAGATAGGGGCTAACACAGATCTCTTGGCTATCTGCAAAGCGTCAAGGAGATTACTAAACAGCTTGTTTTATATAACATTCACGTTACTGAGCTTGTAGCATACAGACGCGCATCTATCTACGCTTAATCTGTACCTGCAGGACGTAGTTTCATGCGATACCTGGCTGGATACAGCTTGTGTATTTGTAGTGTCTACGACCTGCGTAGGTACGTCTTGGGGCGTTTTGTTTTCATTTTGTGCAGTCGTAGAGTCTAATGCTTGTGTAGGAACGTCGTGTACAGTGGTGGGAAGCGTCAGGGCTCACATTTTAAATCTATCCACGTATTACGTCGGTAATTTGAGTATCTGGTTTAAGTATTTTGAAATTGTTACAGTGTTTTGGCAATTATCAGGAAGGGTCCTGGAAAAATGTCCGCGAGTTTATATTCAGGTTCTTCTATCATGACAGCGTCGCCTATTTGAAAGTTTTGATAGGCTTAGCATGTTTATGTTGTGTGTAACCATTTCAGCGCGCGATGCTGCTAATTGCTTCTACGCATCTTTCCGTGGATGTTTATGCAACACATTACTCGTTTCGCATAATCATCCATGTTATATACAAGGTAGGTCTCTAGTAAGGTTATGAAAATCTTTGTCTTATATATGATATAGTAGGGTGCTTTGCCTGTGAAGCCATTTTCTATTGACCCATTTATTGACGCTGCTACTTGAGGTAACCAATCCTCCCATGCTACCTGCATTGGATTCATAATTATATGTCTGAGAACTTAGGATTTTGTGATTGGTCCGCTCAACTGGCCATATTTGATTTCTGCGGGTGATAAGCTGCTGTGAAGCTTGCCGAATGCCGTATTGTCATATGGTTACAAGAAGTTGATTCTCAAATTCTGATCCGTTGTCGGAGAATAACCTAGTGGCAACGACATATGAGATGCGTCACTAAAGCGTATGCCACAGTCTCCGCGTGATTTATCCTCCAAGGGAACTAGAATCATGAATCTGGAGAAGGATCAACAACAATACTACGTATGTAGCTAGAGCCTTGATGCTTTCTTTACAGTTGCAATAAGTCGACGGTACTGTGTCGAATGGACGTTCGGGCGTTGGGTATCTTGATAATGGGAGCAGGGTACATCGTAGTTCCTTGTGCTGAGTACAAGATAAACAATTAGCAGTGTGTAGCCCGATATCCCTTTTCATTGTAATTCAACAGTAAGATTATTTCGTGCATTATCATGCCCTGATGGCCCGTTTGAGGTGTATTGTGGTACAGAGGAGTACTGTGTCTCGTAGGTTGTCAGGCGCGACACCCCAGGTGACAGCATCCTGCACTGTTTTTTGTTGTACGGTGCAGTGAAATCTTTGTTGCAGTTCAAACTGTTTGAACGGAAGAGGTAACTTTGGTAGAGTGTCCTCCTCACCTGATTCTCTAGAGCATAAATTACTTTAGACCACATTGATTCGCGGTTGTTGTTCCTCTCTTAATTTTTTTAGGCGTGAACAAGGGTATTGGGTATAACTTGAGCTATGTGTCTAGACAGTGAGTCGGCAACCACATTAGCGTCCTGCAAGCAAGTTTAAAGGCGGGTTCGAATTCTTGAATGGTCAAGTACCAACGTGCAAGTCTGCCAGGAGTAGCGTTCTTCCGGAATAACTCCGTTACTGCTGCATGATCCGTATAGACTGTTACAGGTACTTCACATAAACCAAATTATCCAAATATCGCATCTTTTGAACTTCTTTTTAGTATGTCGACTAGGTTGGACATCTATATTATTTTGTTTTAGTGTTTGAAGACCAAATAATCCATCAGCTGATAGAAAAAAATCTCTTACGATATAAAACTCAGCTAGAAAGATTTCACTGGAGTCACAAAAACCTATAGGTAATATAATGACTCCCATATTATCTAAATGTTGGCCTGATACTCCGGAGAGATCGACATCAGTAGGTCTTATTCGCCATTTATTGTCAGGAAAACGTCGATTCAATTCAGTAAATGACGTTAACGAGATAACATTAGCGCACGCTCCCGTATCTATGTCTAAAGAGAGCTTGGTGTTACCTACACTCACTGGTATTGTCAATACTTTCACTTTACATAGTGCAGCGATCAATGAAGCTGTCATGGAAGCATTGCTAGTAATATGTGATCTTATCCCAGGTCGTGTTTGACATGGCGCAAATCTTCCACCGACGGATTTTGAATTTGACGCCATTGATTGGGCTCTAGATAATCCTGCCTGCATTGATGCAGAGTTACACAATCCTCTGAACTGTGTGATGAAGAATGATGTAGTAAACATCACTGGTTACTTATGGGTTCGGAAGCATTGTAGGTCTTGCTTACTGCACTTGGATTTAACGTTTGATTTTGCTTTTTGGAGTTGCCTTTCTTGGCTTTGTTAAACTAATAGGTATTAACCGTTTTGTTTTGCATAGAAACCATCTTCAGTCGTATGATTCACTGGGTTAGTCATGTTAGTGGTTAAAGGTTTACTAGATAATGGCAATGCTGGTAAGCTACTCGTGCATGGATCAGAAGATGTCAATACACTGTCAGCGATAGGTTCACAATACAGAGGTGTAGTGTTGTAAGAACGTCCTGACCTAAATTGTGTACATAATAATTCGTTATCTGTTTTATCTATGACTGCTTCACTCACTTCTACTGAAGTGTTTGCTGTTAGTTCAGGTTCAATGACTTGAAATTCATGCGCATCTTCGAGTTCACATGTGTCAGTGTTAACGGTGCCATGAGGTACAGTGTCACTTGAATCACCATCTAAGTTTTCATTATGTTGATCGTTAACAATATATGAATGATCCATAAATGTTTCTTAGATTTAAATGTTTAATAACTTTGCCAATCCATTCACAATAAGGTAATGTGAAATGAAATTTTAGTGATAATTAATTGTATAAGTTATTTTTTCATTATTGTTACAAGGCACTTGATAATTAATAATCTATCACGATGTCTACCGTGTGAAGACATGTTTTAAATTATATATATATATATATATATATATATATATATATATATATATATATATATATATATATATATATATATATATATATATATTATGTGTATATATAACTAATGATTGTTTGTGAAATACCAAATACCGTAGAGTTGATTGTACATGGAGATATCCTCCTGTTTACATCTGTCAGTTGGGCTGGGTGGATGACGTAGTAGTCCAGAGGGCACCGGTCTAGATGACGTCACTGTTGGAGGTTCTCTACCCACACACATCTGCTCTGGTCCAGGTCGATGAGGGCTAGATCCATAGGTCCATAGGTCTATGAGGGTGATGAGTTGACAGGTCGATGTAGGTTAGGTCGATACGTGATACCCTGAGCAAATACCACTGTAATATATTTGATTCCTGACTTCAGTTCTGTTTGCTGTTTACATTGTCCTGGGGTGAGACCCGTGTACAGAGATGCCTGGGGTGTTGTTCAACCATGTATTTGCAATTATCATCTTGTTTTTCTAACATAAGTCAATTAATATTTCTCCTCTCATTTCTATTATCCAACCCATGTGGTCTACTTCTGGTCCTTTCCCAACTTTTACGTTAAAATCACCCATTAAATTTGGTAACATAATTAGCAATCTAGAATGACCATATCTTTTCTTTCATTATATTAAGTCAGTGTCTTTTATAACCTTTAATTTAGGAAAGTTAATATTATACAATTAATCATAATATGGTTTAAACCCCTCAATTTAACGTACCTTTATTATCAGTAAAGTTATTGAGGGCATTACTGTATTACATTTATATTTAACATTGTTGTCATATTAATAATTTGTAAAAGAAAATCAGTCTATTTATATACTGTACAATAAACTTAATGTTTTTGTGTTAAATATGATACTATTTATATAATCAATAAAATTACCAGTGAAAAAATTTACTATTTCACCACCAATTTGTGGTTTAAGAGTCACACAATTTATCATTAAATCACCTACATGATTTTGTACTCTACCGAAGAGAAATGTGAAATATATAACGATACACTCCCATTCTCTCATTAACTAAAAGAATTTCTTGAAGCTTGAAGAAATATTCCCATTGCCAGACACATGCTACATGGGAAAGGCTTTCGTATGTTGTAGTCATTATGTAAGTATGCACAAATGCTTTAAATATTAAGAAATCCGCTATTTATTGATGTCCAAAGAAAATACAAAACAAAAACAAGAATGGATACATTTTTGGATATATATATTTTTTAAGTTAATAGATACGGTTTTATATTTTTTAGCATTTTTTTATATACACTGGGATATAGTCAGAGATCACGAGGTGTTAACCCACTCGTGTCTTGAGGGTGCTAAGGTCAGCTGCTGTCGTTTGATCCATTCTGCTGTGTAAAAAACTGTTAATTAGTTTTACTCACTGGGGAGATGCTGATTACTTACCTAAGCAAGTATGACTTGATTGCTTGACGATGAATGTTCACTGGGGGTAACTGGGGGTTACCTGTATCATTGGACTGTTGGTTGTTCTAGAACAATTGCGTCCCTTCTGACCAAGATGATAGAGAGTTTTGAATTATTCTAAATCTAATGAGAACTTTTTCGGAATCACATGAACATTAGGCACCCCCACTTGTTTCACCCAATGATTGGACATCCTAATGCTAACCTAACCTAATCTAACTTATACAAGAAGCATATGAATGTTTAATCATCCGGTGAAAGTGTTACTGTAGTTTCATGCTGCTGGGGGAATCTCGTGGCTGCTCTGGGGATCCCAAATCCCAGCTGTATTAGTTTCAGCATGGCAGCAGCTTCTCGCCATGCTTATCTGACGGCTATTGATAGTGTACATGACTACGTCAGTTGCCATAGAGGTATTATAATTATGTCGTGTGTTTATATTTATTCTCTCCCTCTCTACACACACATACATAACAGAGTTTCTGTATCACCTACTGTAATGTAAAACATATAAAGACCAACTAACAAGACACTTGAGAAGGCCAAAGAATTAACACCCTTTACACACAAGTTTGCTTTCCTTTATTATCTTGCTACACGAACACATTTAGTGGTTCAACAGGTGGCACATACGGTAGGACACATTGTTGGTGCAACATGTGACACATACTGCAGCATACATTTAGAGGTTCATCATATGACACAGGGTACACTCGGTATCGTTACCAGCTGTGGAGAACGTGAAGGCGTGTCGACCTGCATGTGGGTGCGAGAACCATGGCTGATCCGGGCTATAAGAGAGAACCATGGCTGATCCTGGCTATAAGAGAGAACCTTGACTGATCCGGGCTATAAGAGAGAACCATGGCTGATCCTGGCTATAAGAGAGAACCTTGACTGATCCGGGCTATAAGAGAGAACCTTGACTGATCCGGGCTATAAGAGAGAACCATGGTTGATCCTGGCTATAAGAGAGAACCTTGACTGATCCGGGCTATAAGAGAGAACCATGGCTGATCCTGGCTATAAGAGAGAACCATGGCTGATCTGATCCTGGTTATAAGAGAGAACCTTGACTGATCCGGGCTATAAGAGAGAACCATGGCTGATCCTGGCTATAAGAGAGAACCTTGACTGATCCGGGCTATAATAGAGAACCATGGCTGATCCCGGATGACAGCAGACTCCTCAAGTACTGCTGAAAATGTGAGAGTAGTAGTTCCTAGTGTTGTGGGTGGCAGATGGACAGCGCCAACGTGTACCATTCAGTGGGAAGACGAGGGTGGCGAGGCAGTGTCCCAGTATCAGGAGGTAAAAGGCCCCCTGCATGTGCTCCAGGTTTAACACCATCTCTTCCCTCTCGCCCTGACGCGGGAGTAATGGCTCACTTAATCGAGGTAGGTTAGGTTAGGCTAGGTTAGGTTAGTTGGGTTGGGTTAACAATTGAGGTCAAATTGGGAATGTTGTGAATAAAACAGATCTTGACGAAGTCTGGGATAATGTATAAGAGTAGATGTAAAATGGATATATTTGTCTCTTTTTCTCTATATGAATTTATGCAACAGAAGACATGTAACAAGTTCAACTATTAACATATAAGATATAGTCTTACCAGAGGGTGCAGGTCTTCGTCGCCGCCTCCTTTAGTCCGTCGGGCCTTCGTATCCTGGCCAGGAAGCCTCCGAAGAGCTCCTCCAACCAGTGATCGATGAGGCCCGTCTCCACCAGGCGTCCGATGATCCTGTCCAGAGGCTTGAGGAAGGGCGCGTTTTCCTGACGAACAGAGAACGTAAGTTAGAATGGTGACGTTTCTCTGGCCCACCCAACTGACGTTCTACCTGTTAGTTTTGTACTCAGCTGACGCCTTCTCCAGCACCTGACGCTCTTCTCCCTTTCCCTCACCTGACGTCCCCCCCCCCTCACCTGACACCCTTCCCCCTCGCTGTCACCTGACAGACTTCTTCCCTTCCTTCAGTTGACTCCCTTCCTCCCCTCATCATAGCCTTCCACCCTTCCTCTCACTTGACCTCCACTCTTACCCTTCACCTAATCCCCTCGCCCCCCCCCCTCACCTGACGCCCCAGCCACTCTGGCCTGAGATAAACTCCTGCTTGCTGATGTGGAGGGGTGTGTGGCCGTAGATGTCAGTGTGGTGGAGGGCGACCACCATCTTGATGTAGTACTTCCAAGTGAAGAAGGCGTGCTGACCACCCAACACCCGCGCCAGCTGCTCCTCCCGCGGCGTCACCTGCCATGGGAACAACACAGGTAAACGCGGGAAGGACAAGTTGAAGCGATAAATCTGTAATTACAGCTAAATAGATAGATTACACGAAAGAGAGAGAGAGAGAGAGAGAGAGAGAGAGAGCTATCATTTCCATGGCGGATACACACACCTTTCTGTTGCTGTCTTACCGATTTTCTTGACATTGGTAAACAATGTAGCCTGGGTTCTAACACAGTCAAAAATAAAATTTTCTACCATTACTGAATATGCAAGTTTCTGTATAAATTTTAATGTAACAATGATGACAAATCCCAACAAGGTATTTTGGTCCACTATTCCCTGACCAAATAGAATCGGCTAAAATAAATATGACCTACACATAATACTGCAGAGGACAAACATCCCCCAAAGTCACTCAACAGTACACAACCCTCGTTCTTGTTAAAATGAGATGGATGGGGGAGACATCCTGTGTTTGTTTACGACTAAAGTGGTCCTGTTATGGGTTATAAGGCGTGATATAATTGTACCATCTGCACCATTTGGTTAGGTTAGGTTAGGTTAGGTTAAAATTCCATACCATTAGGTTAGGGTAGAGTCGTTAAGTTAGGTTAAGAGGAAGTTACCTGCATGGTGGTGAACATGTGCTGCACCTTCGGGTTGGTGTTGTACTTGAACCAGTCCCAGCCGACCCCGTGCCCACCCTCCAGGCCCCAGGTGGCGCCCTCAACCTCCAGCAGCTGGTCCAGGGTGTCGATGGGCGACGGGTTGACGGGCGCGGTGAGGTGGGCGATGAGGGACCCGCGGTACATGGCCACCACCACCACGCAGAACACCCACCACGACCCCACCAGCATCTGAGAGACCCGCACTACTGTATATAGTTATTACTACCGCCAAGAGTGCTCACTATAGCTAGAATTTCATATATGTGATTGTGGTATATGTTTGCAGTATGCGTTTGCGTTACATTGCCGTGGAAAACGGACACCCCCATTTCTATTTGCCGATGCATACTCTGTCTACACACCGGGAAGAGGACAGGACAGATGGCTCCCAGCTCATTGAAGCTACGACACTAATTATATGAGCAGGCTGATTTACTATTAATTATCCTGGTTTTGTATAAGATCATTTGTATTCCAAAGAACCCTTTTATTGAGACCATAAACCTTCACTTTAGAACAAATGTATAAAAAATATATGGATCTAGTAAAATGATATACAAATAATGAAGCATACTTAATTACCTGATTAAATAACACTTGCTAGGTTTATAAATGTATGATACAAATGCATTCCAAAAATACTTATTTTTGTACTGTATACTGAGTGAACTAATGAAACACCTGCTCAGTATGTAAGATCACGGCAGATGAATGCTGTATAAAATGAAGTTTTTTTTTTTGGTCACATTTCCTCTTAAATATTTGTGAAATACATAACTGTGACAAGAACATCTGATGTCTGGGTGAGGTGTTCAGGTGTTTGAAACAAGAACTAGTGACGTCACAGTGTGAGGTTCGCTCGTCCGTTTCCATGCGGTTGGGTTTTCAATCGCATAACGCTAACGCAACCGTGTGAATGGAATCCTAGTTTAAGGCTTCATCACACCTGTAATCAGTGACATACACCTGTAGCCAAAATTAGCCTGGGTAATTGAGAGAGAGAGAGAGAGAGAGACTAAACGACATACCCAAGACGCTAATAATTTATATAGTTTCCATTGTTAGGAACATTAATTTTATTCTCCGTTTTATGTTATATTTGTATAATAATTGTTTCCTTATGTTATTTTCGGATATCTTGTGAAAGGAGTTGATTAAAGCTCGTTTAATGGGCAAACAAGTTTTACTTCATCCCACATCAATAATTAAAGTACCTGGGCAGTGATGTTAGTGGGCAGGGCGTCGGTGGGCTCCGCCAATAGCATGCCCAAGATGTATAGGAAGGCAGAGACTGCATCCAAGCCGCGTCCCCCAGAGAACCGTGACCACGCCCTCTGCGCCCCCCACAGTATGGCACCAGCTAGCGTCGTGGTCACAACCAGGGCTATCCAGATATCGCCTGCGGAGAATACATGGGGGAGTCATCACATATAGAGATCACACCCTAAAGACACACACACACACACACACACACACACACACACACACACACACACACACGCACCTGTGAAGGGCTTGATGGGGGCCAGGTGCTGGGGGAGGGGCCCAGGCTTGCGGGTGATCATGACAAAGGGCTCGAAGATGTAGGCGCGGGTGAAGTCTATGGCCTCCTTTCTCGCCGCCGACCAGAATAGACGGAGGGAGAAGTCCGCCTCACCCCGCCACAGCTCCCCCACCATCCCCGTCCACGTGTTGTTCCTCGTCCGTGCTCCCCACACCCCGTCCACCGGTGCACGGATCACGAACATTAAAGTGTAGTAAAAGTGTATGAATAAGAACATGTCAACTTGAGATGGATAGATAGATAGATGGATAGCTATATATATATATATATATATATATATATATATATATATATATATATATATATATATATATATATATATATATATATATATATATATATATATATATATATATATATATATATATATATGATGCTGATCTGACTTCTGCCTCATTTCACACAATTGCAGGGTCTCAATTTTTTCTCTTACTTTGACAACACATCACACTTATATTGTTTCTCACTCTTGATTTTTTATGATTTTTGTATTTCTTTATAGTTCTTTATTATTATTATTATTATTATTATAATAATTAATATAAATATAAAATTAAATAATACAAATAATATAATAACCATAAATAAAAACAAAAACGAAAAAATAAATCAAGAGTGAGAAACGATAAACATTATATCATGTGTGTTGTGTTGTCAATAGTAAGAGAAACAATTGAGACCCTGCAATTGTGTGTAAATGAGGCACAAAGTCAGATCAGCAACCTGGGACTTGGTCACAATTTTCGTGATGCCATATGGCAGCAGGGTCTACCATTAGACAACACATTATGCTTCCAATATCTTCCCAGGCGGTAGTACCTCCCTGTTTGATAGCTGCCTACTACCTACTACTTGATAAGATAGATAGATAGATAGATAGATGGACGGAAAGATTAGATAGATAGATAGATAGATAGATGGATGGATGGACGGACATTCGGTAGATAGATAGATAGATAGATATATATATATATAGGTTCTATATAGTGAAGTACCCACTTGAAGTTGAGGATGGAGGCTGCTGTGTCAAGGATGCGGATGTCGAGGGAGTCATTGGGGGTGACGGTGGTGCCAGGGGCGTCGGTGTCCTCCACATAAGACACGAAGGGGAACAAGGCCTTGGCCACAATCCTTACTACGTGTCCTTCCATGTCCTCGAACTGGTCTGGAGCAGTGAGGGTAGTGGGAGGGTGAGGGTAGAGGGAGGGTGAGGTAGGGAGGGTGAGGGTAGAGGGAGGGTGAGGGTAGACGGAGGGTGAGGGAGGGGAGGGAGAGGGTGAGAGAGGAGGGAGGGTGAGGGTGAGGGTAGGGAGGGAGGTCAGAGGGACATGAATGAGGGGGAAAGAAAGGTTCATGGATGAAAGGAGAATGCATGATAAGGGCAAGGGGCAAGGGGCAGGAAATAAGTGAGAGAGGAATAGAAAATGAGGGAGAATAGAAAGGTAAGTGGTATAGGATAAGAGTGAGGGGGGGGGTAGAAAAGGTATGGTTGTTTACATGAGTCTTCGAAATCCTCTATATAATTAATAATGAAATATATGATCATAGCAAACTGAAGTTAAGGACTTGTGTAGAGTCTCGCCAGTATGAACACCCTGTAAGTTCTCTATTAAGTCGAACACAAGTATTTATTCTGAGACATAACAATTGTCCCCAAATGTTTAAACGAGTAACAGACACGAGAAAACCAATGTGCTGAGATAGCTCCTTTATCAAGTATGGATGATGCAATTATGCAGGAGATCCGAACCAAGGTAGGTAGATACCTACCTTGGTCCGAACGGCATCACTATGTAAACAAAGATGTTTATTTATAACATAATTGAATGCAGCAAAAATGTGTTAACACTGGAACTTGAAACTAATAAACCAAACAAACTAAATACACTGTAGTCAACAATTGAGAGATAACCAAATCTTTGAGACCAAACAATAAAGTAAACAGTAGTCGGAGTAAACATAACCATCAGTAAACCCGAATGGTGTTACCCACTCACCAGGGATGAGGGACCTGTTGTTGACGAACCCGGCCAGTGGGTGCCAGCGATCTAAGAGGGTGACCCCTGGCTGGCCGCCCCGACAGTACAAACACCTCCTGTATACCTCCACCTCTCCCTCACACTCTCCTGGCGGGGGGTTAGAGATAAAAAGTATACAGTACACACTAGAGAGAGATCATCCCTGACTCTAGAAATTTGTGATGTTTTGTTTTATATTCACAGCCGCTGATGGTCACCACTAATGGGTATATCACCACTCCTAAGGGGAGCCTCATCACCACTAATTTGTTCCTTACCTGGTGAACAGGAGGTGTCAGGAGGCGTGGAGGGGTCGTGGGTGGTGAGGTAAAAGGCGTGCAGTGTGTCGTGGAGCTTCGGATGTGCCAGGGCGTGAGCCCGCGACCTGGGTCCCACCACCACCACAGCGTCTCGGGCACCACCTCCGTCTCCTCCAGGAACCTGACGATGTCAGTGGTCTGAAATAACTTATTTATGGACAAGAGCCTGTATGATAAAGTGAAGAATAATACTGCATTTAATAATGAATAGATCACATTATTCTGCAGAAATATGATATGGAATTATATTACTAAAGTACTTCGTTTTGAAGGAATCAACACAATAAGAATTGTTAGATGTTATTTATTATCCAGGAAACACCGAAACCAGCCACAAATAAATTACTTAACATTAGATGCTTAAGAAAACTGTTTGTGGGTGGTTATATGAATAAAATATATATATATATTTATAAGATGTTCTGGAAATGACTGAAATCTGAACGGAATTTATGCGCATTTACGACATTGTATATAATTATCATTAAGCAGGGTATCAATTATAAAACACGTGATCACGTTGCGGGTAGCTGCGGTTTGTGAGATATTTTGAATTTTATGACAACTATACAGCTAGAACATTGCCGTCTATTCGTTTCCTGTGATAACTCTGTCTGGCTGACATGCAGGATGTAATCGTAAACAAGAAGTAAATGCAGGTACAGTTTTCTAATGTTTTTTACGCTTTCACTAGTACGTTCATCTGGATGTTATTATTACAAAGTTTCAGTGCAGCCAGTGTATATAGATTAGATAATGATGGTACCCATAAAAAGAAGGAAGATCATTGACCTTTACTTAAATCCAGACAATAAAGGCACCTTTGAGGAAGATGGATGAGACACACCATTACAATAGACCATTTTTTTTAGTAATCTGAATTAAAACACTAATACAAATGTTCACGTAAAAATAATGTATTTGTAAGGAAATATGTAATGTGGATGGATCTGGATTTACACTAAGACGATTCAAGAGATTTTGGGGAACACTGTGGTGTAATATCCATAGACCTTTGGCCAAGAATTTGCCCACCTGGACCACTGTGAGAAGTACTGTAGAGAAAGGCGCGGGTGTATTTATGTTTGTGCGTGGGGCCGTGTATGTGTGTACATGTATATGCTTTCCTCGATAAACACACAAATTGTCGCTGACCACAAAACACCAAAATCTAAAACCAAGAAAAATCATAAAAGACGAAAAACAAAGAAACAACTAAAAAAATCTTAACTGTTAGTGCAAGGAAGTACAGCACATAAAATAAGTACAGTTTAGCATATGGAATTCTACTGTTCTACGCAGGATACTTTTGTGTACTTCCGTTGATGAACTTAGGTGGGACGGAAGGAAGCACGGAGAGGTGCCCCAGTGAGGGTGTAACGGACACACCATCTACATACACCAAGAGTTAACTTACGTCATAACATCAGCGGCGGACACGTTGACGGAGGGACTGCTGGGGGTGTTGGAGGAGGTGAAGGCACCGACAGAGTCGTTAACGTCATTAACAAAGGGATTGAAGGACAGGACGGAGGAGAGATAGAGAATGACGGCCCGACAGGTGAGGGTGTGGTCCCCTTGCGTCAGATAGTGGAAGAGATCAGCGTTCCTGGGTGAATGGTCGTGTCCCCAAGTCACCAACACACTCGTCTGCCCCCCTAGCCACACCTCCCTGGAGACATATATATATATATATATATATATATATATATATATATATATATATATATATATATATATATATATATATATATATATATATATATATATATATATATATATATATATATATATATATATATATATATATATATATATATAGTATATATATATATATATATATATATATATATATATATATATATATATATATTGGGTGGTCCTTATTTTTCAACTTTGGAATTTTTTACCACAGACCCTGCTAAAAGTGTCCATTTAGGACAAAAACATTGTGTGTAGAGTTATTTTTAAATATATTAATATTTAGAGGTTGCTCAAAGCTGTCAAAAATTAAGTAATCGATGTAGTCGATTACTCTGTAGCCGATTACGCCCACCACTAGTGCGTCGCATTTGGCACGATTGTGGTGAGTTTTTGCTGGTCGTGATTGATGATTGGGGAAATTAGAAACAGTTCTACAGAGTATTCTCATTATTAATTTATATTAATAGTTAATTTCTTTATTCCTCAGGTCAAAATGGCTAATGCAGGAGTAAAAACACGAGAAAATATGTATTTGATAAAGACATAATGTGATGCCATTACAGGGGCTAAGTTACCTTCAAACAGGCAAGTGTTACAGTATTTTTTAAGCCTGCATCGTTTACAGAAAAAACATCAGAGTGGCAGCTGGGGAAGTCACAGACAAAGTTCTTCAATTTTGGACAAAAGCAAACATTCCCACACACCACAAACCAAATTGTGTGAATCAAGTGCACAAAATGTTTGACAAGTGGAGTAGTTTGAAAAAGAACTCTTAAAGAAAGACAGAAACTCAAAAGCAGAAAGAGAAAGAGTTCACTGATACATTTGAAGATTTCTTTGACATTGCACATGTGAATGCTTTGTATATGATGACAGTTCAGGAGGATAAGGATTTCTTAATAGCGCAACGAGAAAAAGGGCGTCGTGGGGCAATGTCATCTCTTGACAAAGTATTCCTGAAAAGACAGAAACGACGAGAAAATACCCTCAAGAAAGCAATGAAAAGGAAGTTGGCTGCAGACAATGCAGAGGAAGAAGCCAAAAAATGCCAGGCCATCGTTGTCTTGGACAGCAGTAGTACGTCTTCTTCTGAGGAATCCAACCCTGTTCCTGGCCCATCAGCACTTCAAACTCCACCTACTGTCAAGAAGCGTGGGCGAAAAGAAGTTCTAACTCCAGAACTTTCTGCAGCATTAGATCGGACCAAGTCCTCAGATAGAATGGCCATGCACATTGTCACCCAAACTGCTCGGAGTCTGGGCCATGATGTCAGTGAATTGATTCTGAATCAATCAAGCATCAGGAGAAACCTCAGCATCATCGCAGTTTGAAATCCTTTCAAACTTCAAACCAGAGTCAGTTTTAATTGTTCACTGGGATGGTAAATTGATGCCTGATTTGACGGGGCATGGGGGCCATGTTGACAGACTCCCAGTTCTTGTCTCAGGCAATGGCACCTCCCAACTTCTTGCTGTTCCAAAACTTCCCTCTGGTACCGGTGATGAACAAGCAAAAGCTGTTGTGAAGGCTTTGCAGCAATGGCACATTACAGACATCGTGCATGGCATGTGTTTTGATACAACAAGCTCAAATACTGGTCACCACAAGGGTTCGTGTGTCAAAATTGAGCAGTTGCTGGGTCGTGATTTGCTATATTTTGCCTGCCGCCACCATGTACTAGAACTTGTAGCTGGAGCTGCTTTTGAAGCTGTAATGGGGCACTCAGCTGCTCCTGACATACAGCTGTTCCGAAGATTCCAAGCCAAATGGGAACAAATTGACAAGCAGAAGTTTGAAGACTCCTCCACCGACGATCTGGCAGAAGAATCGGTCAGAGCTGTTAGGGACGATCTAACCAACTTCATTGAGAAGGCTCTATTGGAGACACAGCTTCGAGATGATTATCGAGAGCTGCTAGAGCTGGCCTCCATCTTCCTTGGCACATCACCTTCTCGGGGAGTACGATTTTCTGCTCCTGGTGCAATGCACCAAGCACGATGGATGGCAAAGACCATTTATTCCTTCAAAGTGTGGTTATTCCGTTCTCAGTTTAAGCTTACTCCAAAGGAGAACAGAGGACTAAGAGATTTGTGCATTTTCTTTGCCCGAATATATGTGAAGGCTTGGACAACTGCTCCACTTGCTGCAAAGGCACCAAAAGGAGATCTGATGTTGCTTAAAGCTCTACAAGACTACAGTACCATCAGCGATGCCATATCAAAGGCAACTTTCCAAAAAATGATGAGACACCTCTGATACTTGTCAGAAGAGTTGGTTGCATTGGCCTTCTTTGATGACGATGTTCTCCCAGCAGTGAAGGACCGCATGTTGGAAGCTATGAACATCGTTATTGGGGAAGAAAAGCATGTCAAACGGGTTACAATCAATCCAGACACACTCCAAGTGAAGAACCTATATGATTTCACGACAAGGAACACAAAGTCATTTATCAAAAAGCTCAACTTGAATACAGATTTCCTGGCCCTCCCAGTAGAACAGTGGAAAGATGATCCTGGCTTCCAAAATGCAAAAGCCAGTGTACAAGCTTTGTCTGTGATCAATGATCATGCAGAAAGAGGAGTAGCCTTAGTCCAAGATTTCTCAGGCCGCATCACCAAGGACGAGCAGCAACTGCAGTATCTACTGCAGGCAGTTGCTGACCACAGGAAATCATTCCCTAATGCCCTCAAGCAGACCTTACTGGGCGACAAAGAGTGAGACTGGTCCTCATGCGACCCCTGCCTTGAGCAGCTAATACCCACTTAGACTAAGTGGGGGGGCCCAGGCTTGGGGGCTAGGAAATGATGTGTTATGAACATTAAGCATAGGCATAATATTGTTAAATTTCATCTGACTTGACCAACCTCTAATTATTAAGATAATTAAAAAATATTTTACAGGCAATGTTTCTACCCCAAATGGAAACTTTTGCCAGGGTCTGTGACAAAAAAATGACAAATTTTGTTTTTTGCCCGAAAATAAGGACCACCATAATATATATATATATATATATATATATATATATATATATATATATATATATATATATATATATATATATATATATATATATATATATATATATATATATATATATATATATATATATATACGTGTAATTCATGAGAGAATAACAAACATGTCATCATAAACTGGAATCCAATAGTCAACTCCTTACCATAAAAAGAATGTCAGGAGAAAGATTTAACAGCATCTGGCTCTCTCTCACCCTCATAATGACAACCTCGTGGATGCTGTATCGCCTGCCGACCTTCCATACCGGAATGACCCTATTATAGAAGCTACACCTGACCAGCCCTCGTCCGTCTCCTGCCTACAGTGCATAGATTTATAATTAATTTATTCGAGATGATGTTGAGATGAGACCCACCTGAAGTCGTTATTGAAGGCGGTGTTGTGATGATTTGATGTTACCATCGTCAGGTGACACCCACCCAGGTACTGCCTCGTTATCTGGGCCATGACGCTACCCTCGGTCTCTTCTGCCGTCCAACCACCCAAGCTGTGAGCTGGGAAGGGGTGTACAGCAGCAGCTACAGGAGTGTGGGCGTGGAGGGTGAATGCCACGACCAACAACGCCACCCGGGCCACCTTGATCAACAACCTCCACCATCTACAGGAGAGAGATGGTGAGTCATCCAGCAGACCCCAACATTACCAAACCATTAAGATTATGGCCCAATCCTTATGGTCCCGTCCTATATAAAGCTCAACGATTGGGATTTAGGTCCAGTCTCAATGGGAAACAATCCTAATGGTCTCAATCTTACTGGAGGCGAGTCCTTATGGGGCCAATCCAAATGGTTAGGTTAGATTAAGTTGTGGCCCCTCAGGACTGGGGTCTATTTGACCTGCAACCCGTGACATGGTTCAGGTAACCAGTATTACTGTAACCATATTATTAGTGGTCAATCATAGTAACAAGATTCGTCCATATTAGCTCGTAACAGGAGCTATCTTTAGGATTTATTCACCTTGACACTTTATTTGGAGCTGTTTATTAATAAGACTTGTTCATCGTAATGAAACTATTCGAGTCTTGGGTCAAGATTTTTATAAACAATTTTTTTTTGTCCTTTAATACGAGTTATGGAAACGCAGTTAATCAACTCCTTAAAGCCACGGCGCAAACTTTCCGGCCAAAAATACAACAGTTAAATTGTTCCAATATTCTATCGTAAGTAACTATCATTTCACCCCCCCAATTACTTGGAAGACTTAATACCCTGCAAAAGAGCTTCTGAGAATCAGACGTCATGGGCTAACCTGGTGGTGCAGGAAACAAGAGATTTTCTGGCGGCCATCCTTGTAGTGTGACGCGACTCCTGTCCTGGTCACCACCACACTAACGACTCCATGTGGCTACACAGCCTACACTGTGCACACCTTCCTCCCTCTCTATACTGCCTGTTGCCAACTGCCGCTAAAACTACCACACTATTGTCGTTACTGTGTGTCTGTCTGTCTGTCATCCACACAGGAAAATGAACGTAAACAAGTGACAGGCTTCCTAATAATCATATAGTTACATAGAGTTAACATTTCTGGCGACTGTAATGTTAATATTAAGGAAAATAGTTAAATGTGGCAGCACCGGGAGGCCAAGTTGATATAAAAACAATGAATCTATTTTTGACATTTCTCGTAACATTTCCACATCAAATCAGTACAATCATAAAAACTGCCGAGGTGCGAAGCTCTGGCCACGAGGGGGGAACCCGGCTAGCGCTCAGGACTCACTGACGCCAAGACCCGAGACTCAACTTAACTAACCTAGCTTAATTAATCCTAACCTAACTATACTAATCTTACATAACCTAACTCTACTAACCTAACCTAACTCTACTAATCTAACATATCCTAACTCTGCTAACCTAACATAACCTAACTACTAACGATAAGCTAACATAACCTAACTCTACTAACGGTCAGCTAACATAACCTAACTCTACTAACTGCATTCCACTCGGACACTTTTTCCTCAGAAATATAGCTTGTAACACAACAAAACTCGTCAAATAACTCATTATCAAACTTTGAATCATAGAATTTCCTTTCTGCAGCAAAATCCATCGTTTTCTCAACATCTTGCCATTTTGGTATTTGCTTTAATGAAGCCTACTGCATATGTGCAAAATCTTGCCTAAATACTGAACACGTCATAAAAATCTGTAACTATTTTCTTAAATGCAGACGAGTCAATTAATCCACCTTCTTCAAGTTTATTTGGTAGAACCTTCACTGAATGTGGCAAAAATACATTGACTGAGGAAATACGACTTTAAGCCAGGAAACATTCTTATACTTCTCTCAACAGCAAGCATTAGTGCGGTATTTTTGCGTTTACACACCACACATTCCTACCACTAATCTACAGTATTATCATATTCTAATAAGACGTCTAATTATAAGACAATTTTCATCTATTACATTACCGGCGGAAATGTATAATGACGGAGAAAGCATATCAAAAATTTTCTCTATTTTCTTCCATTAATTTTCCGCCATTATCACCTCCCTCACCTCTCACACTGCGTGTCTCCTTCATAAATTATCACGCACTTGTGTTCCCGTACACCTCACGCGACCAATCAAACTCGTTTTTTTCTTTGCAACCAATTAAAATGATTTGTGGTTTAATTCGCGGTATTTTTGTAGCAATCAAAATCGATTTTTATTTTGGGTCTCTCATATTTCCAAATTCATATACATTTCCAATCGTGGAAGTCTGTGATGGGTGTCACTTAAATTATATGGAGCTGATTGCGAGTTTTGGGGAAAAAAAACGAAGAAACTATAGCATTTTTTCGATCGCATGGTGTTCTTCCAACCTCAGTAAAGTGTCATCAGTGCAAGACTGAATGTAAATATCGCAAAGACCAACATATGTGGCGTTGTGTAAGAATCTCAGAATCCAACAACGAACAAGAACCAGGCCATTAAGGTAAGAAATAGGTGATTCCATCATATGGTGAGAGTCAGTTAGATTTGGTTTGGTTTTTGTTTTTCTAATGTTTTTTTTTAATTCGCTTCGCCATTATTTATATTCGGTAAACGTCCAACGAAAAAAATTCGATAAAAAAACCCGGCTAATTTCCGCCAGAAATGAAGGTCATATTCGGTCTAAACACACACAAATACACTAACATAAGAACATAAGAAAGGAGGAAACTGCAGCGGGCCTATTGGCCCATACTGGGCAGTCCCGTTTACACCCAACCCCTATCGCTCATATAAGCATCCAACCTATGTTTGAAGCTATTCAGCGTATTCGAGTTAATGATGATATTTGGTAACTTGTTCCATTCATCCACTACTCTGTTTCCAAACCAGTGTTTACCTATTTCACGCCTAAATCTAAATTTGTCTAATTTAAAACCATTGTTACGAGTTCGCTCCTGGTTGGATAGTTTGAGTACCTTTGAATGTCCCCTTTGTTTAGCCCTGACTTCCACTTATACACCTCCATCAGGCCGCCCCTCGCTCTACGTCTCTCAAGGGAGTGCAAATTAAGATGCTTTAACCTGTCTCTATACTCAAGGTTCCTAATGCCCGGGATTAGTCTTGTCATTCTCCTCTGAATTCTTTCCAAGGATTCTATATCCATTCTGTAATACGGTGACCAGAACTGAACTGCTTAATCCAGGTGTGGTCTCACAAGAGCAAGATACAGTTTTAGGATGACCTGGCTAGTCTTGTAACTAACACTCCTTTGTATGAACCCAAGTACTTTATTAGCCTTGTTACGAGCAAAAACACATTGTTTACTTGGCTTAAGGTTCCTACTTATCATTACTCCTAAATCTCTCTCCCAGTCGGATTTCTCTATGGCATCGTTGTTCATCTGGTATCTGGTTTCCCTGTTTACATCTCCTATACTGAGTACTTTACATTTGTCCACGTTGAATTTCATCTGCCATTTTTCAGACCATTCGAAAATTTTGTTTAGATCTTCCTGTAGTTTTGCTGAGTCCTCGTCATATTTAATAACACGTCCTATTTTAGAGTCATCAGCAAATTTACTTATGTTGCTGTCTATGCCGATATCTATGCCGTTTATGTATATAATAAATAATAATGGTCCAAGTACTGAGCCTTGGGGAACTCCACTTGTGACGTTGCTCCAATGGGACTTAGTGCCGTTAATGCTCACTCGCTGTTTCCTGCCCTGTAACCACGCCCTAATCCATTTAAGGATGTTACCTTTGATGCCATGAGCTTCTACCTTTCTAATTAGTCTTTCGTGGGGGGACTCTGTCAAAGGCTTTGCTAAAGTCGAGATATACCACATCATAATTGTGCCCCTCGTCCACCTATTCGAAAACTGATGAAAAGAATGTTAATAGATTAGTTAGACAAGAACGTCCGCTTGTGAAGCCATGCTGGGAATCATTGATCAATCGGTGCTTCTCCAGGTGATTTCGAATAGAGTTTGAAATGATTGCTTCCAGTTATTTGCCTACTATTGATGTTAGACTGATTGGGTGGTAGTTAGAGGATAGTGATCTATCCCCCTTCTTGAAACTCGGTATTACATTCGCTAACAGAGTGTGATGTGACAGTGCAAATTTACCATTAGCGCTAACCATCTTGTTTTACTGTGCCCTAGTAACTGTTTATATTGAATTTCCACAAATGTATCACGTAACATATGACACCAATGCACGCACCCGGAGCAGGATAGGAATCAAACGAATTTGGAGGGTTAAGTTGCCAAACATTACTTTTTGTGTCACTGCCACCCCCTCTCTCTCTCTCTCGAATTTATTGTGTCAAAATTTATTCTTTCGTTAATGGAGCGGGACATTTCGGGATAAATTCTGAAAATGCGGGACTTTATCGGGACGCTTGTTGAAAAATCGGGACTGTCCCGCCGAAATCGGGACGTCTGGTCACCTTAAGTTCATTCAGATAATCTAACTTACCAAATCAAACAAACCTTATGTCTTAGAATTAAAATTTGGGTCCAGTTTCTGAAGCCTGACAATGGACTAACATTTACCAAATTACACTGGGAGACGTTCTCTGAGCCCCATTACTCAGACCATGTGACAATCAGATTTAAAACCCCTTACCCTGAGATGTACAGTATACCAGACTGCCAGTGAATGCATGAAAATACCTTCGGAATATTTATAAACGATTCCAATATTTATTTCAAAACTCTTTGTATAACTAGAATAAAAAGAAAAGAGTATCGTCATCTCTCATCTCGATACATAAATATAAATAACATCATTAAAACACCCTGGTAGCCTTTCACATTAACTTAAATTGGTTTTTTATTCTAATATCAGGTTGGAATAATTGGCTCAGAAAGTGGTTTTGTCTAGTAAAAAGCTCCTCATCTTAATATAAAGTGACAATGTTGTGAAACGAAATCATTGAGAAAATATTGGTTAGGGGAAGGACTTGACACTCTGAGACGTCATGTGGGACTAATGTAATGTGTGGGGTGACATACATACATACATTGTTACGACCGTGTCGTATTTTTTCTATTTTTTTTATATATAACATGCTCCCATGTTCCATATTATTCCTATAATGATGTGTTAAATTTACTATTATATATTCTAGTCACCTTACCCTGTGCTGTTAA